TGTGTGTGTGTGTATGTGTGTGTGTGTGTGTGTGTGTGTATGTATGCGTGTGTTTGTGTGTGTGTGTGTGTGTGTGTGTGATACTGAGAAGAAAAGGAAAAGCAGTGAGTGGGTGTGGGAGGGGAAGAGAGCCGGTGTGCATTTGGAACAGACAGACAGAGGGAGGCAGCGAGTGCTGAGCAGCCAAGCAGGGAGTGAACGGCCTCACGCTCTGCTGTGTGCAGACACTCAGTCATCTTCTCGGTGCAGGCTGGGCCAGTATCAAACGTGTTACAAGGAGAGGGGCTGGAAAAAATGGGTCATCGCAGTTTTAAAACTAATGAGAAAGTTTGCGTCTATGCCCTTTATGTTCTCCTTTAGTGGAGTTTAGGTTACAGACACCTGGAGCAACATGACCTCTGCTGTCAGTTCTTCTTGTGAAACATCGTAAAAACTCCATAAACTCCACTCCATTACTGTCTTGTAGAGCTTACCCAACGTAGGAGGCCCTCTTTGACACCTTCAAGCTTGTTTCATCTCTCTGACCACATGGAGCAAATTAGGAAAGACTTTTTTTTCTTCCTAATGACCACTAGTTTGAACCATCAAGCAGTCAGAAAGATGGAGCAAGCCACTTTTCACAGACTGAACAAGTGTTGCCAGAGCTACTCCAGACATCATTTTGATCACATGTGTTAATATTTCATTGAATCAACCTCTCTGGTCTTACCATTTCATTTTGCAGGGCAGGGTGGAAATGAAGAACACCTATTCTTGTGACTTCCCACACTCTTGTTTGTTTTTTATTATTTTATTTTTACAACTTGTATAATTAGTTTGATTGTATCAAGGCCAAGAAGCAGCCAAGCCACTGCAGGTAAAAAGTCTTTAAATTGAATATTTGCTGTTAACAGTAATTCAAAAAACATGATTTTGCATAATATCAAAGAAGTATGTCATTATAAAAAATAAACATGAATGCCTTTGCTTCCATTTTTCTAGTTAAAAGGTTAATAATCTGTAACTTCCCTATTTTTTATTTTCTCCTAGAGCCCTGGCCTGGTTATGTTCCTGTTTATCAAACAGGAGATAATGTGTAAAGATTTGTGAGGTATGGTGAAATCATTTGATGTGTAATATGGGGTCCCACAAGGATCAGTGTTAGGTCCTTTCTATTTAGCTCGTGTTTTAATGGTGTTCTTCAGCAGTGTGTTGACATGAATCTGCATGTTTGCTGATGATACTGTCATCTATATACGTGCTAAAACAACTGACTTTGGTTGTGTTCACGCTACAGGTGTTAATGCTCAATTCTAATAAATTAGATATTTTTTTGGCAGGAACATCATATTTTAATTGAGATTTCAGACTCCAGTGTGAACTCTCCACGGCCCTGATGCGACCTGCATKGGCAGAAGATGATGTGACGTCACATTCAATTTATTGTTTAAAGAAATAGCTGAACATGGATGCTATGTCGATTCAGAATTTGTGCAATCAGAGCCGATTAAATAATTATCTGACATGTTTGTTTAAATCAGTGTTTATATCTGAACCTGCTTCTGATCGAACGTTTTGGTGCATTTCTTTTTGGAACAACACGACGTGCTATTAACTGAGTAGCTTTAGTGTTGATACGGTCTGACAATGTTACTATCATATGTTTCTGCAGAATCTCAGTCATTCAGGACATGGGAAATAAAAATAAAAAAGGACAAAGCAACTGGACTTTAGTTCTGTAGCTGAAGACGTGGAGCTACAAGATTTAAACTGTGTGACATGAGGTTAGCATCCTTATTATTGGTTCGGTCTGCTCACCCCCACCTCACTGACGTAAAAGTCAGATGAAATGAGCGATGAGACTGCAGTCGCTTTGATAAACATCAGATATACAGTATATCCAATTCAGTACCATATGATGAAATGACCTGGGTCAAATTTGAAAAAAATCTAATTTGTCCGGTTCAGACTGTCATAAAAAAATCTAATTTGGGTCACATTTGCCAGCAGCGTGAACATAGCCTTAGCATCTGCTAAATTAGCATCCACTCTGAAAAGGATCACCTGTTGGTTTGATCAGACCTGCTCTAAATGTAAAGAAAAACTAATATAGGTTTCTGTTCTAAAACCCTGGTACTACTGTATCTCCTAACACTGACATTTCTATTTAAGGGGAAAATTTTTTGACATAATCACTGAATTTAAATATCTTGGGGTGACCCTTGGTCCAAATTGGAATTTTAAGAAGTTTATTCAGAATATGACCAATGTCATTAAACTTAATCTTCAAAATATGAAATATATTAGACACTGTCTCTCACTTGATGAAGCTAAGATATTTGTGCATGCCATGGTTTTATCCCGTAATTTATATGGTGCACCTTGAATAATCTGAAACTGCTCAGATGTGTAATCTTTAACTGTAACTGAATGTGTGTGTGTGTGTGTGTGTGTGTGTGTGTGTGTGTGTGTGTGTGCCAGTGATTAAGCGTGTGTTTGAGCAGAAAGTAACCTCTAGTGTTAAGTGTTTTGTTTTTGATTTATTATTTAATATGTCTATTTTGTAACCAATCCAGAGACTGCAGATGTGAATTAGCTTATGCTAAAATTTGGTACAGTGCATCATATGGTGACATTTATCTTTGAGCTGTACACTGCCCCTTTTTAAATGATGTTTGAATTTGAATTAGACACACAGTACATCTTAGCTTAAACACAAGCATGTACATTTCATTGTGTAAACAAGCAAAAATCAAATTGTAAAACCTTTACGTGGCCCTTTAGACTGTCATCTTTGTTTTTAATAAAATTCTTGTTTTGAGTGAGGTCACCCTTCACTATTTACAAAGGAAACTGCTTTAATTCACATGTTTCACTCTACACTGTCYGTCAAGACCCTCAGGCTCTGATGGCAGCTGATGCACAGGACGGTCAACCTGTAGTCCATGTCAATGGTTCCCAAACTTTTCATCTTTTGACCCACAAACTAACAGAAACAGAGACCTCTGCCCCTATTTTTGATTGATAAACTTTAGTATCAGATAGACAAACAAGAGTATAGAGACTCACCTCATTATGCTACTTTCATCTGTTTGTAAGTATACTAAGCACACTCGTTTGTAACAACTAGGACAAAAAAAGTTGTTTTTTTTTTATTGTAAACTATTCTGAAATCTTTTTAACCCCCCCACCCACGGTGAGTCTCAACCCCAACTTTGGGAACCACTGGTCTATCTGATGTCAGTCACTGAGTCACTGCAAAATAATATTAATATAGTGTTTATTAACATGGACTGAAGCAATCTTGCACATAATATTTTCTCTTACCTGTAGTGATGTTCTGACACTGTCAGACTAACAACTTAACTAGTTGGAGTTGGTTAACTAAAAGGCAGTATTCAGATGGACTGTATTTAAATATTTTGGGAGTTCCTGGTTTTAAGAACACTTTCTTAATTAGAATGTGTGATAATGATGATTAAAACAACATTTTGTGGGAAAAAACACATTTCTTATATATAAATATACTGTATATATCTAATAGGGATGAACAAAAACATTTTTAGAGATTGAATAAATGCTCTTTTTCATTGTAGTTTATTTTTTACACAGACACAAAATGAAAGCAAAGCCATTTTCCTACCCTGACTCAGCAAAGTAAATATTTCATACCAGACAGAGGAAACTCAAACAGATTGATTCATCACACGCAAAGATCCAGTTCCATTAAAATAGGTTTTCTTCATGTTTTGAGAGATGTTTTCTTGCATTGTGCTGTGAATATGAGTTTTTGAGGGCAGGGTTGGTAGGCTGCTGCAGACCCATCAGACTGAGAGCTTCTCATCACTCAGTGGATTAGTGTTCATGTCTGAGGCCACTTAGTTGGGTTCAGACAGGGCTGCAGAGTGGCACCTGCTCCACATTTCTCCTTAAGCCCTGCCATGCCACAGGTATGTGGTGCCAAGCGGCCAAACCCCCCGTGTCAGGAATTCTCTGGATGCCTGCAGCTGAGCTAGACACCAGGGGGGTGCACACAAAACAAAGGGATGGGTGGAAAGATACTGTGGAGAGAGCTGTTCTCAAAAAAAGTGTATGTTTAATTGAAGAAAGAGTATTCTTGTTGAGGGACAAGATTGAGCCCACCTGTTAGTGTTTGCTATTAAAAGATGGGGAAACATATCTCCCCTGAAATACGCAAAAACAACATGAAGTTGGATTTCTTGAAGAAAAGCTTTTCCCCGACGCCAACAAAACCTGCACTCCAACGTTTCAAACAAATATCTAAAACAATCTGTTATTGCTTTGTCTATGTTGGGGATGACTCCCATCTACTACCACACCAAATTTGATCTTTAAAACACAGCCATTTTTGTGTTTGTTAAAGTTAAGTAGATGGGTGTTGTGTATCGGTTGTAGATGTACATTTATAGAATTGTTTGTGTTACACGTGCTGTCTTATTCTTTATACTGGCATCATTTGCTGATGATGATTTAAATATATTTTTGTGAGGTTCTCTTTTTTTTCTTCTTTCTGTGGTTCACCTTTCAGGGGTCTCTGCAGCAAGTCATCCTCCCCCATTTCCCTCTGTCCTCACTCCAACTACCTTCATGTCCTCTCTAACTGAAGCCATCTCAGCTTTTTTCCTGTCCAAACTAATATACCCATGTACATCCTCTGAACATGTCCAAACCCTCTCAGTCTGATCTCTTTAACTTTAGCTCTCAGTCATTCAACCTGTGCTGATAACCTCATCCCTAATCTTCTTCATCCTTGTCTCTCACAAGGAGAACCTCATCATCTTCATCTCTGACACTTCCAGTTCTGTCTCCTGGCTTTTTGTCCATGTCTGTCTCCAAACCATACAACACAGCTGATGGTCTTTCCTTTGACCT